GGGGGAGGGGAGGGGGAGGAGGAGGACATACGGTTAATGCGGAGAACAAGGCTGGGGCTGCCGGCTTTCACGTTGTCAAGGGTGGTGCTGCTGTTGCAACTCTGACCCACGCCACGTGGAAAGCCCTCAATTCGGTAAAAGTAGCGAGCGGTTGGGAGAAGAGGATAAGGGTAGTCGCCCAAGTCGTAGATTCACGCACGCAAGGCACGAACACAAACCCACAAGAGCGACATTGAATGGGTAAGTGGATCCAGGGGTTGCGGCGGGGAGTGAGGTGAAGGAGTGGGTGACTGGAGAGGCCTCGATCCGATAGAAGTAGCACGAGGAGGGGAGGGGAGGGGAGGAGAGGGGTGGAGGCAGCTTACCCCCAAGATGCAAAGGAAATCGCTGACAAAGGAACCCAAGATGTGCGACTGGTGGACCATGTGTCCGGAAGTAGTAGCGAGTGGAGGGGAGGAGAAGAATCTGAGAAGAAGAATCTGAGAAGAAGAATCTGAGAAGAAGAATCTGAGAAGAAGAATCTGAGAAGAAGAATCTGAGAAGAAGATTCTGAGAAGAAGATTCTGAGAAGAAGAATCTGAGAAGAAGATTCTGAGAAGAAGAATCTGAGAAGAAGATTCTGAGAAGAAGATTCTGAGAAGAAGAATCTGAGAAGAAGATTCTGAGAAGAAGAATCTGAGAAGAAGATTCTGAGAAGAAGAATCTGAGAAGAAGATCTGAGAAGAAGAATCTGAGAAGAAGATTCTGAGAAGAAGATTCTGAGAAGAAGAATCTGAGAAGAAGATTCTGAGAAGAAGAATCTGAGAAGAAGAATCTGAGAAGAAGAATCTGAGAAGAAGAATCTGAGAAGAAGAATCTGAGAAGAAGAATCTGAGAAGAAGATTCTGAGAAGAAGATTCTGAGAAGAAGAATCTGAGAAGAAGATTCTGAGAAGAAGAATCTGAGAAGAAGATTCTGAGAAGAAGATTCTGAGAAGAAGAATCTGAGAAGAAGATTCTGAGAAGAAGAATCTGAGAAGAAGATTCTGAGAAGAAGAATCTGAGAAGAAGATTCTGAGAAGAAGAATCTGAGAAGAAGATTCTGAGAAGAAGATTCTGAGAAGAAGATTCTGAGAAGAAGAATCTGAGAAGAAGATTCTGAGAAGAAGATTCTGAGAAGAAGAATCTGAGAAGAAGAATCTGAGAAGAAGAATCTGAGAAGAAGAATCTGAGAAGAAGAATCTGAGAAGAAGATTCTGAGAAGAAGAATCTGAGGAAAAGCATCGGAGGTTAAGGGAGCTCGCTGGTTACTCACCCACAAGAGCGACTTTGAAGGGATAGGTGGAGCCAGGGGCAGGGAGAGAGGTGAAGGAGTGAGTAATTGGAGAGCCCTCAATCTGGTAGTAGTATTGCGTGGAGGGAAGCAGAGGCCCGATGGGGACGAAGAAGGTGTCGCCCGACACGTAGGCGCCGTCCGTTCCCTCGGCAAAGGAGTAGCGGAATGAACGGCCGCTGCAGGCAAAACCCGTGAGGCGGGGAACGAGAGAGAGGAGAGGGCTCATGGGGATGACAAAGATATTGCTGGATGAATCGATACGTGTATTGATGGGACATGTAGTGAATCAGTCTACAAGATACACGTGTTCAGACGAGCCCTACCTGGCCGACTGGTTCACAGTGTTTGGATCCGTGCCATAATGCACGGAGCACTTGCACCTGCGCCTGCACTTGCTCTGCCGCACTTCCACCTATGCTTATCAAGTACCCTTAAGTCGAGCATACCCTGGCCGAGCGCTTGCACCTGCGCCTGCACTTGCTCTGCCGCACTTCCATCCACCTATGCTTCTCGAGTACAGTGCACTATAACGGGCCCTACCTGGCCGACTGGTTGAGGGCGTTTGGGTCCGCGCCATAATGCACAGAGCGCATGCGCCTCGTTTCCATGTATGCAGGTGACTTTTGAGTCGACTCAAAAGTCACCTTGCTTCCATAGGTGATTTTTGAGCCGACTCAGAAATCATCTTTTCAGTCGACTCAAAAGTCACCTCGCTTCCATCCACGTATGCGTATTGGTTAAACCGAGCATGGCCTACCTGGCCGACTGGTTGAGTGTGTTGGGGTCCGTGCCATAATGCACCGAGCGCTTGCGCCTGCACTTGCTCTCTTCCCCCCCACCATCCATCAACCCCTCCTCCTCCTCCTCTTCTCCCATTTCAGCGAGCAGGTCAGCTGGTAGCTTGTGTTTCTTCTCGCATGGGCTCAACGGCATGATGTTGGGGATGGCAAAGCGGACAAACATGAAGAGACCATCGGGTGAAGCCGGTGCAAGAAGCACCTGGAGGGAAGGGGGATGAGGGACGTGAGCAGGTCAGCTGGCAGCGTGTGTTTCTTCTCGCATGGGCGTAACGGCATGATGTTGGGGATGGCAAAGCGGACAAACATAAAGAGACCAGCAGGGGAAGCTGGGGCGAGAAGCACCTTGGGGGGGGGGGGGGGGGGGGGGGAGGGGAGTGGGAGGGGGGTAGGGAAACAAGACGGGTACTGGAGGCAAGGTTTTGGGAAAGGATGATGAATCTGAGAACGAGGTCTACTTACCCACGCAAGGTTTTGGGGTGACTTTTGAGTCGACTCAAAAATCACCTTCTTACCCACACAAGGTTTTGGGAGGGGATGTTGAAAGAACGAGAAGGGAACGGTGCCAAAAGCTGAGAGGGGTTGGCTCATTATGTAAAAGAAAATGCAGCTAGAAGCACATAGAAAGAGCGTTACAAGCAGGCGTGCAAACCAGTTCAGGGTGGTTGGTGGGCTTGGTGCCCTCTGACGGTGGTAGTCCAAGGGAATGTCAGGAGCTGTGTAGGGTGGCGCAAGGTGGTGAGTGAGGTGTGGCAGTATGTGCGCTACTATTAGCTAGGAGGAACAGGCATACAGGAATCACCTGCTCAGGAAGGTTGGTGGTGCCGTTCTGCTGGTGGTAGTCCAAGGGAATGTCAGGAGCTGTGTAGGGTGGTGACTCAAGGGGGTGAGGTGCGGCAGCATGTGGGCTACTACTTGCTAGGACGAACAGGCATGAGGACTGACTCACCTGCTCAGGGTAGTTGGTGCCGTTCTGCTGGTGGTAATCCAAGGAAATGCCAGGAGCCGTGTAGGGTGACTCAAGTCTCAAGGGGGGGTGTGTGTGTGACAGCATGTGGACTTCTACGCTAACACAAGCAGGCATCAGGACGGACTGACCTGCTCAGGGTGGTTGGTGCCATTCTGCTGGTGGTAATCCAAGGGGATGTCAGGAGCCGTGTAGGGTGACTCAAACGGGGGCCCTGTCAGCTCTGGATCTGGCACTGCACGGTAGGCCACTCCCTGCGCTGTAAGCACACTCGGGGGAGGAAGGTTTCCGGGAGAGAAGGTGTTGAATGGAGGGGGAGGGGGGGGGGGGGGGAGGAGAACAGAAGGGAGGGAGAGAATGGAATGAAGGGATGCCACTCCTTCCGCTGCAAGCTGTCTCAGTATAAATGCAGCAGACGGAACGCGTCTTCTGCAGACCTACTGTCGATAATACAGGCCAAAAGAGAATGATGACTTGCGTTTGATCTCACTGCACCACTCTAAACGCATCCATCTGCCATTGAGCCGACTCAAAAGCAGAAGTGCATGTGGTCTCACATCACACACACTGCACGCTGCACAGCTCTGCATCCACCTGCATCCATCCATCCATCCATCCATCCATCCATCGCTGAAACACTCAGTGAATTTTTCTTTTGAGAATTCTAAAAAATGACTCCACTGCACAGCTCTGCATCCATCCATCCATCGCTGAAACAGAAACCTTCAGTGAAGTTTTGAGGTGACTTTTGAGTCGACGAGGTGACTTTTGTTTGAGTCGACTCAAAAGTCACTTCGCTGCACAGCTCTGCGTCCACCTACGTACATCCATCCATCCATCCATCCATCCATCCATCCATCCATCGCTGAAAGAGAGAAATTCAGTGAGTTTTGCTGTCTTTCCCCAAAACTCTAACATGTAGCGGGTTCCACGAATCCACCCGAAAACTAAGTCCCTAACACCAGAATAGGCACTCGAGTAGGCCTTCAAACGTCGCTTACTTACCCGGAGGAGGCTGATTGGCCTTCAAACGTCGCGTACTTACCCGGAGGAGGCTGATTGGCCTTCAAACGTCGCGTACTTACCCGGAGGAGGCTCATTGGCCTTCTCCTGCTTCTGCTCATTCCATGGCTGCCGCTGCTTCTTTAGCGTCGGCTTCTGCAGAGCATTAACGGTAGCTTCACTCGCATAGGAAAATCCGACTCCTCTCAGGCCAAGGCTGCTCGGAGAAACGCTCCTTCCAGCGACGCCGCCGTCAGAAATGGTACCAGTGATGCTGCTGTCAGAAACGCTACTAGAGATGCTGCTGGAAAAGCCGTCATTTTCCGTTATGGCTTCCTGCTGATGTGGCCGTGCCACGTCAGCTGAACGCAGGTGAAGCACGCCGGGGAAGAACGGCCTGGCGGAGAAAGGCTGGGCAGAGAACGGCCTGGCAGAGAGCGGCCTGGCGGAGAATCCCGCGCACGCGGTAACGCCGGCGAGGAGCAGCAACGGGAGGAAGACGCCGCGGAACCCCGACATATTGCGGACGCAGAAATGTCTAACACTTGAATTCGCGCTGTCAGGGCGGTGCAGCGATTCAGCGATGCTCAGCGACGCGCGAGGCGAGAGAAAGTACGACGCCGCACCACGAGAGAAGGGTGCGACGAATAGCTAGGCGCGATCCAAGACCCCGCGACGCGGCAGCAGTCCTCCTGATAAAGAAAAGGCAGAAAGCTGATGGGCTCACGGCAGCAGAAGCAGGAATCCACAAAATATTGTGGCATCCTATGTGCGAATCTTTGAAGCGGATTCACGATTTCCACGAGCCCCCTGGGAATGTCGCGGGTCACGCAAGGGCTCTGCGAAACAAGCTGCCGGGGACGACGAACGAGCGAACTGATGACATGAAGGTTGAAAGGTTACAGCAAGGCTTGCAATATAGAAACCTTTTAGCTAAATAATGACAAACACCAGAACATTCATACAACAAACCTAACACAAATTTGCATGGATTTGGACCATTGATCACTACATCCCCTACATCTAAACGAATAAATAGCCCTCACAAGCCAACTCATATTTCACGAATATTACTGATGCTGCTGCTGCTGCTGGCCTTGTGCTGCCCTCCTAACCTGGTACTGCTGCCATTCGGACGATCCCTTTCCGCCAAAATCCCCACTATTACTAATGTTACCACTTCCTCCCGACCCTCGCAACTGTTCACTCCCAGGCTGTTGCCAGTGCGGCTGCATGTACTGCTGAGGGGGAGGTGGGGAAACCCCATGCCCTCCCCCTCCGTACATCGAACCCGGACCATTATACCTCCCCCCACCTCCTCCCCCCACATTGTAACTACTGGATACTGGTGCGTTACTGTAACTTTGATGCATGTACTGATTCGATGAAGGATGCTGCCGCTGCTCCCACTCTCCCGTTGACATTGTCCGTCCGATTCCTCCCAGCCCTACTTGCCCCCCATATAATCACCATATCCACTACCACTGCCACCACTGCCACTGGCACCACTGAACCCCCCCCGTCCCAAGCCCGACCCTGGTCCGGGACCCATACCAGGTCCCGAACCTGGAACCATACCTGATCCCGAGCCTGGTCCCGTGCTTGGGCCCATGCCTCCTCGCACATCCCCTCTCATGCCACCAGGATAACCACCGCCACCACCAGAGCCATGGGCTGACGACCCATACATACCCATGCCCTCTGCATTCTGCTCCCACCCTCCCCCCATCCGCCCCCCTCCCCCTCCTCCTCCCCCTCCCCCCTCCCCCTCCCCCTCCTTGCCACATCTGCTGCTGGTATTGGCTGGGCGGCGGGGCATAGTGATCGTAGGAACGCTGGGAGTAGGAAGGGTTTTGCTGGGGGTGGTGGTAGGGGTTTTGCTGCGAAGAGTAGGGGTATGGGCCGCGTGATTGCTGCTGGGGAGCCGTGTGGGGGCCTTGAAGGGATGAGAAGTGATGCGGGTGGTGTTCGTGGGGAGGGATGGAGAGGGAGGAGGCTCGATGTGGGGAGACGTCCCTGCTCAGGGCGAAGGGTGGGGAATGGAGGTGGAAAGAACGAGAGGAGGAAAGAAAGAGAGTGAAGAAAGAGAGGAAAGAAAGAGAGGAAAGAAAGAGAGGAAAGAAAGAGAGGAAAGAAAGAGAGGAAAGAAAGGGAGGAAAGAAAGAGAGGAAAGAAAGAGAGGAAAGAAAGAGAGGAAAGAAAGAGAGGAAAGAAAGAGAGGAAAGAAAGAGAGGAAAGAAAGAGAGGAAAGATGAGAGGATAGGTGGGGTAGGACATGTCGAAATGTGGTCGTGAGGAGGGATGGAGAGAGAGGAGGCTCGATGTGGGGAGTCATCCCTGTTCTGAGGTGCTGGGTGGGGAAGGGAGGTGGGAAATTAAGCGTTAGGGTGGGCTGCAGCGAAGCGTTTTTCCTCTTCGCTGCAGCCCACCCTAACGCTTTATGGCTACAGGCTCGATGTGGGGAGTCATCCCTGCTCAGGGGTGCTGGTTGGGGAAGGGAGGTGGGAAAGAGGGGAAGGATGAGAGGGAAGGGATGAGAGTAAGGGCGGGTTATGATATCTCAAAACGCGGCCATGAGGAGGGATGGACATGGAGGGGATAAGTGTCATGGAGAGTCCAGTTTTGAGGCGTCTCAAAAATAGACTATTATCGATTGGGGAAGAATGAGAATAGACGTGGCAGAGGTGGAGGGGATAAGTTTTGAGGCGCCTCAAAGATTGTGTAAGAATGAGAATAGACGTGGCAGAGGTGGAGGGGACAAGCATCATAGAGAGTAAAAAGGAGAGCCTCTCACCTCTGGTTCCAATGCCCCATCGGCCCTCCACCCCCATAGGCCTCCCCACCGCCATACCCATCACCGCTACCCCCCCTCGCACTCAAATGATGAGGCGGAGGAGGGGGAGAAGGGCCATGTGGCCCCCCATACATCCCCCCACCGCCCCCAACACCTCCAGTACCACCACCGCTGCTGCCCCTGCCACCGCCACCCATGCCACCATCATCAAACAGCGGTTTGGCCCGCCCATAAGAAGATGGGGATTGGGGAGGGGAAGGCTCGGGAGACCGTCTCGATATAAGCTGATCCTGTACAGGCTGCCGCTGCTCCATCCCTCTGTACTGTAGCTGGTGTTGTGGGTGCTGCTGCTGCTGATGCTGCAGCTGCGGATGATGCTGCTGGTTCTGGAGGTGGTAGGGAGGAGTACCCTGGGGAGCATACGCACTGGCATCAGCCTCTGACGCGGTCCTCCTCGAGTTGTACCCTTCCCTCTCCCTCTCCCTCTCCCTCTCCCATTCTCGCCCTCTCTCCCTCTCCCGTTCTCTCTCCCGGTCATATGACGAGTACCCATCCTGCTCCATCCCATGGGATTTCCCACCACCACTGTACGGCCGATCCCCCGCTCCCTCACTCTCCTCCAGATACGTCCCTTGGTCTGGTAGAGAAGGCATGCCATGGCTGTACGTGCGTGATGACTCCCGACTAGGCCGGCTGCGTGGAGGGGTGAGAGGGCCGGAAAGGGATTTTTGCTTGCCTCGTGGCGGGGATTTGACAGGGTAATTGATGCTGTTGTTGCTGTTGCTGCCTGTGAGCCCCATGCTCTGAAGCTCACTGGATGCAGGGCTCCGCGTGCGATCCAGTGGCAGCTGCTGCTGCTGCTGCTGCTGCTGAAAATGAGGAGGGGCGGGAGGTGAGGTTCGGTTGTCCTGGCTCGGGAAAAGAGGCTCGGGGCCTGGGCCACCAGCAGAAGCACCCGAACCAGAAGCACCAGAAGCAGTTCCTCCTGGGAACAAAGGCTCCGGCTCACTCCTACCACTGCCACCACCACCGCCACCACCACCGCCGCCACTACCACTGCCACCAAACAAGGGCTCTGGGCCATTCCTGCCACCGCCACTGCCACCGCCACCGCCACCACCACCACCGCCGCCGCCGCCACTACCACTGCTCCCGAACAAGGGCTCTGGGCCATTCCTGGCACTGCCAGCACTAGCACCATTACCAGCAGCACCAGGTGCAAAAAAGGCCTCTGCATGATCCACCATCTCTCTCAGGTCAACTGTAGGGCTGCTGCGCGTCCTAGCAGGTGGTAACACTCCTCCCCCCACTCCCATACCCCCTCCTCCTCCTCCCGTGCCTCCAAACCCTCCCCCTTCCTCCCCTCGTAGATAACCGGGCTGCGGACTCAGCCTCCCACCGCCACTGGCTGCCAAGCCTGCAGCCGAGCCTGGACCATAGGGTGGTCCGGCGCTGTACTCCCGAGCAGCCATGTCGTCTGTCCATCCGTACCGACCAGGTCCGGAGTGCATCCCAGGTCCGGACAATGCCGGACCTGAGGGGCCGGATGGATTTGGGCCAGAATCGCGCCAGGGGAGGGGCTGCTGCTGCTGCTGCGGCTGCTGCTGATGGTGCAGTAGCTGCTGTGGCTGCTGCTGATAATATAAGGGCTGCTCCCACGAAGGGGGGTAAGAGGGTTGAGAGGGGACCGACCTAAGGAGGGGAGTGGAGGGGAGAATGGAGGGAGGGTGAAAGATCAGGATAGAGTAAGAACAGAGGTAGGCGAAGGAAGAGCAGATGGGATAAAGTAGCGGGGGGGAGCGGGAAGACGGGGGGGAATAGGCTAACCTGGGAAAGCGAGGAGCGTCCATGTGGCCTGCACTGCACTCACTCATCCACCCTGCACTCATGCCCCCCGCCCCTATGGCCATGTGATGGGAATGGGTGCCTCTGGGCCCGCCAGGAACACGGCGCGAGGGGTCCAGGAGGAGGCAGTTGCAGGGACACAGGTGGTGCACGGGCTTACCTGGGAGAGCGAGGAGCGTCCATGTAGCCTGCGTTCATCCCCCCTGCCTGCACTCATGCCCCCTGCCTGCACTCACCCCCCCTGCACTTATCCCCCCTGCACTCATTCCTCCGCCACTCATGCTCCAGCTGCTACGGGCATGGGGAGGCAACCCACAGGCCCCGCCACAAAGACGTGGTGCATGAGCTCATGGGCGGGGCGGCGGTGGGAGGGGTCAACAGCGAGACAGTTGCAGAGACATAGGCGGTGCTTAAGCTTACCTGGGAGAGCGAGGAGGAGCGTCCATGTGGCCTGCGTTCATCCCCCCTGCACTCATGCCCCCTGCACTCATCCCCCCACCACTCATGCCCCCCGCCCCTAAGGGCATGGGGACGGGGCCAGCTGGGCCCGCCACGAAGACGTGGTGCATGAGCACATGCGCAGGGCGGCGGCGGGAGGGGTCCACTGAGAGGCAGTGGAGGAGAAAGTCCTTGGCACAGTCTGACAAGTGGCTGGGGAAGGGCGGGGAGGTTGTGGTGCCTCCAATGCGCAGGATAGCTGCCATCTGTGGGGGGGGGAGGGGAGGAGGGAGAGAGGAAGACAGAGGGGGAGGAGGGCGGGGAGGGAGGGAAAGTGGGGGTTCTAGGAGTCGTGGACAAGAGAGGCAGTGGAGGAGAGAGATCATGGCGCAGTGTGTGTGAGTGGTGGCTGGGGAGGACCGAGCGGGATGTGGTGCTGGCGGGATAGCAGCCATGGGGAGAAAAAGGGGGGAAACATTTTTTACCCAGCGTTTGAAGAACATGTGTTGTGTCACAAAAGGCACCGAATAGCCTCCATCTACTCACTTACCCCATCAGTGGGATTGGCCCCCCAGGGCGGTCTGCCCTCGGGGTCGAGCCATGGGATGCGCAGGCGCTTATCGACCACCCTCATGGCCATCTCGATGATGGTGCATCCCAGGCTCCAGATGTCCACCGGCCAGTTGTAGCCTTCCTCCCGCCGATTGATCACCTGGGGGGGGGGGGGAAGGGGGGGGGGCAGGACAACACGCATCCAAGGTGGAAGTTTGAAAATCTGGTGTATTGGATTGAATGACTTTTGAGTCGACTCAAACCAAAGTCAGCTTGAAAATCTGATGTATTTAACTTGTACCCCTCCTCCCGCCGGTTGATCACCCGGGGGGGAAACAAGGGAAGGGGTTTAGTCGATTTTGTGACATGTTGATGATCTAAGGATGGGAGGATAGGATGGCAATCGCAATAGCAGTGCCATCCCACTCACACCGCGGGTGCCATCCCGCTCACCTCGGGTTCCATCCCATGCCATCCGCTCACCTCGGGTGCCATCCACCACACGGTGCCCCGCATGCCTGACATGTCTGCTGGCGTTTCCACCTGGTGGCGTCCCCACCTGGCGTCACTCACCTCACCTTATGCCTCCAATTGGTACAAGACTCACCTCGGGTGCCATCCACCACACAGTGCCCCGCATGCCCGACATGTCTGCTGGCGTTTCCACCTGGTGATGCGATACGTGGTCATGGCGTGGCGTGGCATGGCATGGCATGGGTTCGGACGGGATGGGATGGGATGGGATGGCATGGGGTCAGACGGGATGGGATGGGATGGGATGGGATGGGATGGGATGTGATGTGATGTGATGTGATGTGATGTGATGTGATGTGATGTGATGTGATGTGATTTGATGTGATGGGATGGGATTGGCGGGATAAATTGAGAAGGGATCAGACAGAAGGGGAATGCTATCGGTTAGTACAAGGGGGATGGGATGGGATGGGATGGGATGGGATGGGATGGGATGGGATGGGATGGGATGGGATGGGATGGGATGGGATGGGATGGGATGGGATGGGATGGGATGGGATGGGATGGGAATTGAAGAAAATTGGGAACGTGGTTTGTATTGTATGTACGGTGGAACCGGAAGGAACAAGATGGCATGGCTGGCAAGGTGCATCCAGGCCAGGGCGGCAGCGAGCACCCAGGACGGCAGCGAGCATCCAGGGCGGCAGCGAGCATCCAGGGCGGCAGCGAGCAGTTGATAGGGGAAGGAGATAAGGCATGAGAGTTGAGGGAGATAGAAGGGAAGGGGAAAAAGAGGAGGGGAGGGGAGAGGGGTTGGGGGGACGAGAGAGAGATGTCTTACGTATTTCGCTACGCCAAAGTCAGCCAGCTTGGCGTTCCCCTTGGTATCTAGCAGGATGTTCTTCCCCTTCACGTCTCTGCAAGCCCGGGAGAAGCAAAGGCATGGAATGGGGGGGGACGCCGTCACACGGGTCCTGTTTAGAGCTGCCTCAAAACAGCCAGCCAGCTTGGCGTTTCCCCTGGTATCTAGCAGGATGTTCTTCCCCTTCACGTCACTGAAGGTTCGGAGGGCAAGCAAGACAGGAGAGGAAAACACTCCATCGTTCGTGAGAAACCGTATGTTCTCATCTCACGAACCCACGAATGTTTTGTATGTTCTGCTGCCCATCCAGTTTTGAGGCGCCTCGAAACTGAAGTGCCCATCCGTCCAGCCTCCAGCACCCACCCACCAACCCACCCACCGACCTGTCCGCCCACCTACCACCTGGCCGCCCATCTACCCACCCGACTGCCCACCCACACACCTTGCATGATACCGTTCTCATGGAAAATCGCCGGCTCTTCCTGCAGCTGCCCCCAACCCCCAAATTCCCCCCTCCATTTTCTCTTCCCCACCCTCCTCCCAACAAAATTTCACCCACCTGAGCACGATGTTGTTGTCAAGCAGGTACGCCAGCCCTTCCCGCAGCTGACCCCCCTTTCCCCCCTTCTCTCTCCCCTAACTCCCCTCGTTCCCAACCAACCCACCCACCCTCCCACCCACCCACCGGTGCACGATGTTGTTGTCATGCAGGTACGCCAGCCCTTCCAGCGGCTGACCCCCCTTTCCCCCCTTCTCTCTCCCCTAACTCCCCTCGTTCCCAACCAACCCACCCACCCTCCCACCCACCCACCGGTGCACGATGTTGTTGTCATGCAGGTACGCCAGCCCTTCCTGCAGCTGACCCCCCTTTCCCCCCTTCTCTCTCCCCTAACTCCCCTCGTTCCCAACCAGCCCACCCACCCTCCCACCCACCCACCGGTGCACGATGTTGTTGTCATGCAGGTACGCCAGCCCTTCCAGCAGCTGCCGCGTGTACTTTGAGATCTGGTGCTCCTCCAAAGGGCCGAAATCCTCCAGGTACTTGGAAAGGGACGTGTCCATGTACTCGAGAAAGAGGTACATGCACTTGTCGTCCTGGGGGGGCAAGGGGGGGGGGAATGGGGGGGGGATGTGGGGGGGGGGAGAGGGTGGGGGGAGGCAAGGGGGAGACATGGGAGATACTTTGAGATCTGATGCTCCTCCAGCGGGCCGAAAGCCTCCAGGTGCTTGGAGAGGTACGTGTCCATGTACTCGAGAAAGAGGTACATGCACTTGTCGTCCTTGGGAGGGGGGGAAGGGGGGGGGGGGGGGGGAGGGGGAGAGCGTGGGGTTGGGAGGCAAGGGGGAGACACAGGAGGTACTTTGAGATCCTCCAAGCACTTGGAGAGAGGCGTGCCCATGTACTCGAGAAAGAGGTACATGCACTTGTCGTCCTGGGGAAGGAAGGGTGGGGGGGAAGGCGAGGGGGAGATAAAAGAGGGAGAGGATTGAGAGAAAGCCTCTGGAATACAATGAGAGAGTGATGTGTACAAGTACTCGAGAAAGAGGTACATGAACTTGTCGTCCACGGGAAAGAAGGGGGGAGGGAGGCGAGGGGGGAGAGGCGAGGGGGGAGAGGCGAGGGGGGGGATAAAAGAGGGAGAGGAGAATTAAGAAAAAACCTGGAACACATGTAGAGAGTGATGTGCCCATGTCCGTGGGAAAGAGGTCCATGCACTGCTTCACTAGTTGACTTTTTCACAAGCCGACAAGCTGGCAACTCACTGTTTCCGAGCCGAGGTAGCGGACTATCCGCTTGTGGCGCATTTTCTTCAAGGTGTCGATTTCCTGTGGTCAGGTCAAGTGGAGAGTGGGATGAAAACGGTAGTGGGTAAGAACGCATGCAATGCAATGCAACGTATGCGTGTGTGCGCGATTGTGTGTGTGTGTGTGTGTGTGTGTGTTTGTGTGTGTGTGTTTGAGAGTGGGAGTGTGTGGGAGTGTGTGTTTGTGTGTGTGCGCACGTGTGAGAGTGGGGTGGGGGGTTTGGGGCCGAGGCCGGGAGGGATGGAGGTCAGAGAAGGGAGTTTGATTTGGGGTGCAGGCTGGTGGGTTGGGGTTGGGGGGGGAATGGGGGCATCGAAATTGGATCGGCCAAAAGAAGGGTGCGGTAGCTGCTGCTAACGCAATAAGGCAAAAGCACACGCACACATATGCCCCCCCCCTCTCCCCCCCCACACCACAGACACACACAAGGCACTGTGTGCAGTCGCACCTGCAGGTGACTTTTGAGTCGACTCAAAAGTCACCTACAGACACACAACTGGCACTGTGTGCAGTCGCACCTGCACAAGCTGAGAGATAGAGGAGTGGTCGGAGATGTTGACCTCCTTGACAGCAAACACACGCGAGGTTTCCCTGATGGGCGGGAGAAGAGAGGAGGGGAATGGGGGAGCATAGTTCAAAGAGAAGAGGGGGAAGCACGTGTGTCTCGTCATAGGGGATGATGAGCGTATGTATGTGAGGAGTGGTCGGAGATGTTGACCTCCTTGACAGCAAACACATGCGAGGTTTACCGTTTCCCTGAGGGGAGGTGGAAGAGGGGGGGGAGGGGGAGAAGGAACGGCGAACGCGTGGCTTATGAGAACACAGTGGAAGAGGAGTGGCCCTTTCCAAAATAAGTAGTAAGCAACGGAGAACGCTCAGCCCAAAATACATCCAGAAAATAGAAAATAGAAAACAGAACATTTGCATCCTTCAAGTCAAGCAGCCTTGAAACACTTACAGGTCACAGCCTCTGTACACTGATCCAAATCCTCCCGACCCAATTCTACTGCCCTTCTTTCACCTGCCCTGGAAACTTACTTCCAAGGTCAAAATCTTTCGACATTGAAACCAACCGGCGTATAAGCAGCCCTCGGACACTTACAAGTCGCAGCCTTTGTACACGGATCCAAATCCCCCTGAACCAATCCTGCTGCCCTTCTTCCACCGGCCCCTCTGAGGCACCCAAGGGTCGCCCTCCTCATCCATCCCTCCCCTCTCACTCCCCGACCCCTCCCACATGCTGCTCGCCCCTGACCCCTGGCTGATTATGCTCCTGCTGCTGGCACTCATAAGAGATCCAGCCCCCAGGGAATTCCCACCAGATCCCCCGCCAGCAGAGGCAGCGGCTGACGCTGAGCCTGCTGTGACTGTAGGAGAGCCTCCTGGGGGCACGAGCATGGAGCCCTCGTTAGTGGAACCTCCCCTGGAGAGGTTTCCAGGGGTGGCCTGGCCTGGGGAGGTTGGGTAATGGGAGGAGGTTTGGCTGGAGGTTCGGGGGAATGGTGGTGGCTGAAATTGCTGCTGCTGCTGCTGCTGGTACTGCTGCTGGTGCTGCGGCTGCCAGGGTGGGGCGGGTGTCAGGATTCGAGGTTTGACTGGACGACTTGGGGAATTGCTGCCAGGGAAGCATGCCTTCCCTCCCGAGCTGCTGCTGCACCTGCTGCCCTAGTGGCTGCCCCATTTGCTGGCCCATCTGCTGCCCCAAAGGCTGCCCTAACTGCTGGCCGAACGGCTGACCTAGTTGCTGCCCCATTTGCTGCCCTAACGGCTGCCCCATTTGCTGCTGCCCCAAATGCTGCCCGAAGCCCAGCCCTCCTGGCGGCCCTGCAACATCCCTCCCCGGCCCCTCATTCATCGAGCTCACCCTAGACACCCGTCCAGGGGTGGACGTTTGGCTGGACGACTTGGGGACGCCGGGTTCTGAGGCACAGGTGCGTCAAACGGAAGCAGCGGCCTGTCTGCTGCTCTAGGGGAGGCTACAGGGGACTTGGTGAGGGAGATTGGGATTTTGTCGAGCTTTGGCACGCGGGGGTTGATCCGCAAGGGCGAGGCGGATCGAGTCTGGAGCTTGGAGCTGCTGGCTGGTGTGATGGTGCCTCCTGGATGGGTCATCATGCCCCTGGTGACGTCATTCCCATTCCTCCCCCCATTCCTCCGCCCATCCCTCCTCCCATTCCTACGCCCATTCCTGCGTCCATCCCACCGCCCATCCCTGCTCCCATTCCTGCGCCCATCCCTCCGCCCATCCCTGAACCAGCCGCTCCGCCCATCCCGCCTCCAAACCCCCACCCATCCCGCCACTCCCTTGCCGATTCAGCACAGAGCTCCCAGCAACGCCAGCAGCAGGAAACGGCGCACTGGTGGCGAGGACGATCCGTAGCGGCCAGAAGGGGAGGTGCCGGTTGACGAGGCTGACGTGGCTGCTACAGCCGAATTAGGAGCTGCTACAGATGCTACAGCAGGCATGGGAGAGGAAACTGGCAGGAGGGGAGTCATCGGGGGCTGTGCTCCTGGGATCCGCCACCGAATAGAGCAACGGCCGCTCCAGAAGTAGATACGGATCTCCCAGCCATGAGGGGACTGACAACCCCACCACCCCCACACCGCCCCCACCAACACCAGCAGCAGCACCCACACCCACACCAGCAGCAGCGCCGCCCATTCCGCCTGCGCCTAGACCTACATGGATCAACGGCGGAGCCTCCTGGGGCAAAGGGCGCTTCACAGAAACGGCTTCGAGGTCGCGGGAAGGGGAGGAGTGCACAGGGAAGAGCGCACGGACAGGTGAATTGGACGTACTGGGCTCGTTGGCATGCGGCCCTGGAGCTGGCACTGCTGCTGCTGCTGCTGCTGCTGCTGCTGCTCCTGCTACTAATCCTGGCCCGAAACCTGCCGCCGATGCGTCTGCTCTCCCACCCATGGACCCAGAGCCGAGAGCCGCTACCTGTCTTGCCGGAGGGAGGGGAAGGGGGCTGGAGGATTGAGCCCGTCTGTCTGGAGACATGGTGGACGAAGGCCCTTGCTCCAGCGGAAGCAACGGCTGTTTCGCAGGAGACGAATGCGCACTAAACGGCCCTCCTGCTGCCGCTGATGCCATACCCATACCCCCTGCTCCTCCTCTTCCTGCTGCTGCCCTCCCCTTGCCGCTCCTCCCGCCCCTGCTGCTGCGCCCATGGATGATGCTTCTGGGGGCGTGGACGGGCCGCTACGAGGGAGAGGGAGGAGAGGGAGGAGAGGAAGAGCCGGATGGACCTATAGGGGGCGCGACTGGCAGCGGCGGCAGAATGTGCCTCCCTGCAGCACCTGTCGCGTTCGCCGCTGCTTTCCCCCACATCCGGGGGAAGGATTTCGACACCTGGAGCGACGGCGCGTTGGGGTCCGGCCCCGCGTGCAACGCCTTTAACTCCTCCTCCGTGTCCGTCTTCAGATCCCCCGCGAACCCCCACGGGGTAGACTCTCCCCCCCCGCCAACTCCCCCCGTCATAGACGCCCGGCCGCCTCCGCCTCTCCCCTCCTCCCTCGCCCCGCCGCTCTTCCCCGCGCCGACGTCTCCGCTTGCTGTCCGGCCTAGGCGCTTGGAGTCGTTCTGAGGCGAGTCGAAGCCTTTCCTACTGGAAGAGTCCATCTTGGGCCGTTCGCCTTCGTAAGGCAGCCTGACCCATTCGCCCTCGTGAGGCGATCTGCCGTCCGCGACCTTCCAGAAGACTCTGCTCGCGCCGTCGAAGCGGAACCAGACCTTGTGCCGGTCGTCCCAGAGGCAGTAACGGCTGCTGATCTTCCGAGCGGTCCCCGTACGGATCCCGTGGCGGAGACAGGGAGAACCGCGAGGATCCGTTGCTACTGCCGCCGCCGCTGGTGGTGGTGGTGGTGGTGCTGTTGCTGGTGCTGTTGCTGTTGCTGTTCGAGCTGCCATAGCTGGAAGGACGAGAGCTCGCGCCTGGACCAATACCCTGATGATTATAACCGCTGGCTGGGTCTTCTCCCGGTGGTGAGGCAGAGTTTGCTCCTGTCCACCTAGCGGCCTGCGACGGCGAACCCTCAATCGCTCCGTTTGCACCGTGCGAAGAGTCACCACCATCTGTACTCTGGGACTGAGGAGAGCTTATAACGGGGGATACGACTCCTGCTGCTCTCCGGCGATCTGCTCTCCTTCGTCTTGCCTGCGCCAGCTCCCGATGCTCCAGCAGAGGCGCGAACAGGACTACCACCACGACTACCCCCACTGCCGCCACCGGTGCTGTTGCTACCAGCACCTTTAGTCCAGCCGAAGATGGAGAGGCGTGGCCGGCTGGGTTTGCCGCTTTCAGAGTCGGAAATGCCTGAGTCGGATGGGTGTGGGTGCGACGTGATTGGTTGCGGGTGGGAGGTGGCTGGTTGCGGGTGAGAGGCGGTTGGTTGCGGTTGAGAGGTTTTTGTCGCGGAAGCGATGCTTTCCCACCGCTTTCCCGGGCATTTCGTCAGCATAGGTTTGGCATCCATGGCAGCAGCGCTGGCTAGCGTGAGGAGCGAAATTCCCTGGCAGTCGTCGTGCCTGGTTCCCAGCGCTGCCTGGTTGCCGAAACCCCTTCACTCGGAAAGCGCGAAGCCGTAGTGATGATCGCAGTGCCCGGAAGCGATAAAGCAGAGACGCAATCAGGACATCATGCAAGAGCAGAAATGTAAGCAGGGTAACGGCTGCATGGAAGGAGGTGATAAGGATGAACGACGGATGGACGGGAGGAGCTGATAAGGCCTGGAATGCGTCAGTGACTATAATTAGGGGTTGGGCAGCAAAGGCATCCCGGAAGGGATCCAGAAATATAAGATCTTGGGATAGCCGGCTTGATATTAGTCTCTACTTTCCCACCAACTGAACCGCTGAGCAGCTGTTGATAACCGAAGTCGCTTCTTCATACTACTACCTGCCTTACACCGACAATCCCTACAGAACCACAATCAATCCCTGAAAACTATGAGTGGAGTACTTTGAACCGTACACTATGAGAGGTCTAGGGATTGCCGAAGTCAAGGGAACACCTAGCAAGTCATTTCCCGCCAATTTCTAGATTATCAGTCCCAGGCCGAACAAGAAGCCTTCGGGATTACTTCGTCCTAGGGTTTGCCGGTCTTCCAACAGTGTTTTGTTGTAAGTTTGCTGATTACCCGCTATACCTGACTTCTTTACATGACGCGTGTGGGAGGAGCTTGACTAGCTTGACTTTGCTCCTAAACAAAAGTGCACCTCACACTAAGTCATCCCATTTCAAATGGCATTTTCTAATGTTGCGTTATGGTTTATGGTATTTTTTCTGATGGTCTGAACAACCACCAAGTACACTAAATATATTGTGAACCTTGACTGTAATACTTGTTGGGCTGAGAAAAGCCCTAGGATCTTTTCAGACACTAAGTCCCACTTGTATGAAATGCTTGAGTAGTGCAACGGAAGAGTTGATTAGTTGAACCCTTGCACTAGTATGTGAGAGCAAGTGATTGATTAAAAGAAGCAAGCACACAGGAATATATAGAGAATAGGAAATAGAGCAGTTGTAGAATACAGTTGAAGAAACGGTTATCGAGTCGCACAGCGACTCGATCGTTGGTTCGGTTACCATCCTTGCAGTCGCAACGATCGGTCGCAACCTCCTGTTGCAACCCTTCGAGTCCCTTCGTCCTTTCGTGTTCTTTCGTCCAACCTCCTCGTGTAACCTCCGTTGACTCGCGTACTCAATACGTTCTTCGAGTGCAGTTTACACTTCAGAAACGCTTAAGTCATCGAGGTATTTCCAACACTCCCCTTCTTTTCTGGACTGCTGGCGTGTCCGAATTCGGTGACGTTTATCTGCCCCGTCAGCAGCATGCAGTAGTCGAACTTTGCCTTTGCCAGTTTCTTCGTCAGGTAATCTGCAGCCATTTCTGTCGTGGGGCAGTAACAGAGTTGAGGTCTCCCCTTCGCGATCTCATCCTTGACGAAGAAATACCGCAGAGCGATGTGCTTGGTTCGATTGGCGAACCTGTTTTTGTTCACGATTTTGATCGCGGATTGGTTGTCGCAAAATAGCGAGAAGACGAGCATGGTCGCGATTTGCGCTTCCTCGAGTAGCTCCCGTAGGTAAAGTCCTTATTTGGTCGCAGAGCAGAGAGCGATGTATTCCGCTTCAGCCGAGGATAGCGCGATTAGTTCCTGCTTGCTCGATTGCCAGGAGATAGTCCCGATAGGCTCTAGTCGGTAGATGTAGCCCGTTCTGGAGCGACGATTCTCCCTATCTCCCGCGTGGTCGGCGTCGACGTACCCGAGTAGCTGTACGGACGATGGCGTTACTTTGCTGTAGGTAAGTCCGGTCGTCGGCGTAGAGACGAAGTGGAGCAGTGCCCGATTTAGCTCCTCGAGATCCTCTTGCTCCGGCTCCTTCAGGTGTGTCGCCAGTTGGCTCGCGCTGTAGGACATATCCGGTCGGCAGGTTACTGCTGCGAACAGTAGACAGCCGAGCTTCTGTTGATATTCCTGAATTTGCTTCGCGGGGAGCTTTGCGGAGGTTTCGCGGTTGTTCCCGTAGCGATAAGGAGTCGCGGCTGTGACTGGCGTTAGGCCGAAATTTCTTTCGCGACAACGCCTGCGTATTTTCCGGCGTGTAGGTGGAACGCCGTCGTCTTCGACGATGTTTAAACCTAGCTACTAGATCACGTGTCTGACACCGTGAGTGTTAAGTCACTCCTCAGCTCCCCTTCGAACGAGGTGGCGACATCGGTAGTGGAGCCGACGTAGAGTAGGTCATCGACGTAGACGATGAGTAGGACGAAGTCCCCCCCCTTTTGTAGTCGGTACATGCCTTGTTCGTGCGGCAGCTGCAGAAAACCGATCCTTACGAGGCGGCCGTGAAGGTGCTGTTGCCAGAGCCGCGGGGCTTGTTTAATTCCGTAGAGGGATTTTACCAGCTGGCATACTTTTGTGGGATCGTCGATGAATCCGTGGGGCTGCTCGACGAAGATTTCGGCGTCCACAGGTGCGTACAGGAAG